TGTGAGATTTTATGTGTGTATTATATATTTCCTTCTAAAATTCTTTCTGGTTTCTAGTTATTTTCTGGTTTCTCTTTATTTCTCTTTTAAGTGCCACCTTTGTTTTTTATATCTGAACTCATCATAGTGGCTTGCTCTGAAAATCATTTGTGCAATGGTGTCCTGATAATGATTTCTGATTAGAGGGCCATGAAAATATCTGTAGAATATTTTCTACATCTTGAAGAGGGTCTAAAGGTAACATGGGAAGGGGCAGACTTTGGGAAGAGGAGACATTTTAAACCGTTACTAATCATGGAATGACATTTTCAAAAATCAAATGACAGAAGCCATGACATATATTTCAATTCTTAATCCCTTAGTGAATATTATTTGGAAACCCTCTGAGCCTTGGTCAATTGTAGAATGAACAGGTCGTCAGTAGGGATAATTAGCATTTTAAAGGTGCCCTGCTGTTTACAGGGTCTTTTATTTCATGTATCTTATCTCATTTGTAACAGATCTTCCCCTGTTCATAGCTACCTTTTCTTTTGCTCTGAGATTCAGAGGCCCTTTGGAGAGGCAGAATTGTGGACGTTAATTTGCATCTTGCATGAAGAAAATCACCTCTTATGTAGGTGTGGGAGCGCTCCTTCATTTTGCTCTTTCATAGTTATGCTGGGAATGGTGACATTTAAGCAGTGACTTTGCAAAATTGGACTTGTGAATAGGAAAAAGTACTCTCCCCACCTTAAAGATTGACAGGAACCTGAGATGGCTGAAGCTGTACTTGACTTTTTCTGGCAAGAGTACATAGGACAAGAAATACTCTGGAGAGTTCAACATTGAATCACATCATATCATAGTACATGACTAGATGCTTTAATCTTGCAGTTGGAGTCACTCAGGAGAAATTGTTGGCAGAGGAACTATTAGCCTGACAAAATTATATTGAGAAAAAACTTGTAGCATATTAATTTATTAGTAGTAGACAAGAGGAGAAGAATAATGTAAAACATATTGAGATGAAACCACTGATAAATCCACAAAGAATCCATTCCTTGTTATTCAGCCTCTTGCTTCTGGCCATGACTAATGACCAGTAATTGTCTGAATAAGTTTTCAACCATTTGAAAAAGTCTTTAATAAAAGGAAAATAAAGGAGAAGTGTGACCACAAGTCACACTGTGAAGGAGAAATTCCTGAGGTGTGCATGAGCCAAGTGGGTCACTGAATATGCAGCATTTGACTCTATGGTTGCACCACTTTGAACTTTGAAGTGTGATCCTCCCAGTGGTGCTTCTGAGGTAGAGGGTAGGATCCAATTGCAGTGTGGGAATCCCCACAAACTAGTCTTACTTTCTCTCTGCTTAACAACTGAATCTCATTAAAGGGGTTCACTATTGACATCATAAAAGAACCTCATCATGGAGTCCAGAGTGCCACTCTGTCCCACACTGGCTCTGCCTCTCACATCCCCTATGATTCTCCTGCTTGCCAGAATCTCAATCTCCCAAGAGCTCGTTGGCTCCATCCCCTCCTTTGTGTCTACTCAGTCTTTTCAGTCCTGTCTCACAGTGTCCTTTCCATCTAGTCTTTCTTTTCCAGGCCCACAGCCAGTGTCTTTCATGCAGCCCTTCCTTAATAAGTGTAATGCTCTTGTAGGCCCTTTCCCTGCCTCCAGATTCTTCCTGTGAGATCCACCCTTCTTTTAGCTGCTTGCATCACTCAGATCTCACCCTTTCCATGTACCACTTATAAAAAGCCATCTGCTATGGCTTTCCCACCTCTCTCTCTATGGGTCCTACCACTTATCTTCATGCCCTGTCACCTCCCCACTTGCAGGCTACATCCTGCTTCTTGATAAGCTCTGTGTTCTTCTCACACAATTGACCACACCATACCTTTATCTTGGAATGGCCCCTCCCCATTATGTGCATGCTACAGTCTTAGCCATTCTTCAGGGACCACTCCAGTGCCATGATAACTATTCACCAAGTCTTTCTCACTTGAAAGAGATCATACCAAAGTTGGTATGATCTCTCCTAGTGATAAATCTCGATAATATGTTATATCTCCCCTGTAATACTCACCAAGCCCTGCCTTGAATGGAAGTCATTTGTATATTTATCTTAGCACCATTGAAAGTAAGGGATATTTAAAATGTCTTACATTACATAGTAGGACATCTGCTCAGTGTTTATCATATACAATAAATGAATGGATGGCACAGTGTCACATACAGGTGGACCCCAAGATAGGGCATAATGCATCCATGGGTAGTTGGAATACGAAGATAATGTAGATAAACTCTGATATGAATGATTCTCAGGATCAAGTTGGGGGCCAGGGGGTTGATGCCTAGCACCCCCTAAAAAAAGTCATCCTAATTTTGCTAGCCCAGGAGAGACTTGAAGACCTGAAATGTGGCCTTCAGACACTAACAAGATTGGTTCACTAGTGCAGGCAGCTACCGCAGCACTATACTAAGGCACTTAAAAGCAGCACAGTGATTATCAAGGATATTATTAAACATCACACTGTTAATGTGTAATAAGATCAGCTCAGACACCAGTAAAGCCAGTTGACTATTCAGGTATCTGCTAAATAACCATCAAGGTTTCTGAACCACAGGACAAAGCTACCAACTGTTCTTACTGAGAAATTGATTTTTCCATTACAGTTGGCCTTTTTCTTTTTGGTTTTGTGAAAGGTCTAGTTTTGTGACCTGAGGACAGCAGGAGTAGGGAGTAATGTCCAAGCAGGCATGGGTCATGCTTCATAAAGTTTTTAGGAAGGCAGAGTTATCTGGTTGATGTGAACTTCAGCTGGAATAAATGTAGTTAGTTGTAGGATGGCACTCCCAGCTCAGTGGCTTGTCATATTTGAGTAGTTAGTGTTCAGAAAGTGGTGTTTTGTCTTTGTATTTTCTTATGTCTCAGGCAAAAGAGATTCATATTTATCTATGATTGCTTTTCAAAATGATTTGACCCCTAAAGGACTACTCTACTCACTATGACGATCTACCTCCTGATGAATAGCTTGAAACTAAAATTGACTTCCTAAAGGAAAGCATTTGTGGCACAATAAGCTCATTATTCACACCACTATAAGAGAAGCACTTAAAAATACACTTACTCTACCTAAAAAAAAATATGCCTCCCTCATGAAAATCTAAAATTCTGATTTTGTAAATCTTAATCATATAATAAAATAAGAGCATTTCCCCTCAATGAAAAGTGTAAGTTTATTCTGTGGGCATGGTGTTGTTGCAACTGGCCAATCCCTCTGCCATAATTTAATCAGCCTGGATGAGTAAAAGGCTAGAAAAATGTGGAGGGGAGAGCATAGTGCCACTTCCTATCTTTTCTCAGGTCTATTTTTTTTTTTAACCCTAACATGCAATGTATTTGCCTGAAACTGCAGGTGTTTATTGTTATGCCATTTTCCAGCTAACTAGGAGTTAATGGCAATTTCAGCTATCTCCTAGAATAACTTTTCCTGGATTGCTTGAAGAGCATGAGAATTGGGAAACTCATTCATTCATTTATCTGTGAAGCACTTACCTATTATGTGTTGTAGGAATGTGGAGACAAGACAAAGCACTATTCGAGCCCTCAGCCTGGTAGGGGAGCTTTTTGAATAGGGCCCAAAGCAGTGACATATGCACTATTAGATAAGACACTGGATATAAAGGTACTCATCCCAGGGCTGGTCCCAGAGTCAAAACTCATCTTGTTATCCTTGAAGTTTAGTAGCCAAAGCCACTTTAAGGATTCTTGGTAGCACTTATGTTTTTGGAGGGTTACTTGACACTTGTTGGCTTCTTTTGTTTGATTTTTCCAACTAATGGTTTTTGAAAGTCTCCTGGGAGCTGCACTGTGTTGTAGGTATTAGGGCCACAGCAGTGAACACCACCACCGAGTCTCTGCCCTCTTGGAGCAGAGGGGCAAATCAGACAAGTGAGAGAGATCAGTGTGACGCCTGCTGTGTTAGAAGGAGAAGAAGGAGTTGCGGAAAATTATCGTGTGGACAAGAACTTGCAGAAGAAAGGGAAGGAGTATGTTGGCAGGGAGCGAAGTTGCATTTTGAACCTTAAGGCTGGTCACAGGAGACTCTGTTGACAGTGGCTTGGGGCAAAGACTTGTAGTGGTTGGAGGAGCAACCAGGAGATGTTCTGTACCAAAAAGGTGCAAGGAATAGTGAGAAGGCCAGTGAAGAGTGTACCAGTGCCAGGGGTTTGGGGATGAGGGCAGAGGAGTGGCTGGTGGTAGGGGGTCCTGGAGGGACTTGGAGGCTTTTGCTAAAATTTCTGTCTGATTGGCCATTCTCCAACCAATTGATGGTCTGTGGAGCCATTATAACATGTAAGGTTTCATGTCTTTATTTTCATTCATGCTTTTACATTTATAGTCCAATGACAATAAAAAGCGAGAGATTTGAGTAGGTGGGACAGTCTTCTTTGTGTGTGTGTAGCAGGGATATGCATGTGCATCCCCATTCTGTTTTCTTCTATCTCATGTTGGGGAGATAGGGTGGCTATAATTGTTCTCTTCGGCTATCTGCTGATCTCTGGTACATACCAAGGAGGACATAGAGTTAAGCATTTATAATACCCTTAATCTCTATAGTCATAGTGTCTAATCCTCTTTAATTACACTGGTAACAAAAGTCTATCACTTAGTTACTTTTATCATTAACAGCACAAAAATGCATTATTTATAGGGCCAAATGCAAGCTCTTGAGGCATATAAAGTAGATTAATAAGGTTGGCTCAGCGTTAAGCTATGTCAGAGCTGAGTCCAAATTTTATTCCGGTACGGGGATGACTTTCTATGTGGCCTCTCTGGCTCTGGAGCTAATTTGGATGCTGAGTCGCCCCACAGGTATTTATATGTAGCGTTTGGTATTTTTACTGGGTCCTATTCTTCTCCCTTGGATCACCTAAAATGGTTAAGAATTTTCTAGTGGGATTAAGGTTGTGATCTCTGAGGAGGGGTGGGACATCTGCTCTTGGTTATTTTTGTGAGCCGCTTCCCCTTAAATGTATGTTCGCAAATGAGCCACAGTCCTATCAGCTGGGATTGAGGGAAGACTGATCTAGGTGCTGCTGCTGAACTTGGTCTTTAAGCCATGGCTTCTCATAGACACTCAGGTAAAAACCTCATGTTCTTTCTTTTCTCTTGAGCACAATTTTGTTAGGGCAATGAACTCATTATTTGCCTAAAAGATAACTTTCAATTAAATGATTTTACTCTTATTGAAATAGTACACAAATCATAGTTTTTATCTGTTTTGTGCTTGTCCTCTCATACTGTTTCAAAGACAAAAGATTATTACTCAAATAGAATTAGCCATTTGAGTGACGTTTAAAAATATAAGTGATGATATTTTACACTTTTCAGGATGTCTTATGAAACTATAAGAGATTATGAGAAAAGAGGGGAGACTGGTTATTTAGTATTTGGTTATTTATAATATATAACTCTTCATCTTGACTGTGTTTGAAATATAACTTAAAGTGTTGGAAAAAGATAAAATGAACATGGAGAAGAAGGAGGGATATTTGTAACTACAAAAGTCAATAGTGACTTACCATATCTTCCCTTTTTCAGAACAAGATTTAAAAAAAATTTAAATTTTTTTTAGTTGTAGATGGACACAATACATTTATTTTATTTTTTTGTTTATGTGGTGCTGAGGTGCCTCACATGTGCTAGGTGAGTGCTGTACCACTGAGCCACAACCCAAGCCCTGAATAATATTTTTAGTGTTCCTAAAGAAATAACTACAGATTCTTCTGATATGACAAATAGGTCATTAGTTTTTCTTTTTGGAAAAAAAGGTCGAAGTTTTGGGTCCCTTAGTCTATGATGACCACACAACTCATCTTCTTGTTTTGTAACCTGGCATTATGAAAGCCCTTTGCCACAAACAAGAAATCCATGGAATAGGGGCTAAAGGACAGAAGCCCAGTTTTGTGAAGTTAGCCTGCTCCCTGTGTCTCTCCCCCAAGGCCAGGAATGTGGCAGTTGTTCTTGTTGCCCTCTGCCCTGGAGCTGGTGAAGTAAGACAGTTGGGAAGAAAACAAGCACTTTGTCCTGTCTCCCAGCTTTCAGGTTAAGGGCCAAAGTAATTATTGTGGTATGTTTGGGGAAAATTATTTTTGAAAACTTGTAAATGTCTGTCAATATTTCAACAATGGTAATCCTTTTGGTTTTTAAAGCATATATGCTGCAGTGGAATTCATTACTTTAATTAATGAGAATGCAATATCTGCTTTGTCTCTAAGTATTCTGAAGGTGTTTGGTATTTCCCCCCAATCCCTAGAAACTGTTTTAAAAACATGGTACTACATGCCCAAGAATGTGGTTATTGACCAACATTTGCATTCTCTGGGTGTAGACAAATTGGACAGCTGTCCCTGTTGTTATGATGGACCTTGAATGCACATTAACTATAGAGTGACTTTCCATTTTATTTACTAATTAAGTGACAGATAGGAAAATAAGTTTAAAAGGTTAAATATTTATGGCATGCCCAATCTTGGGTTTTAAATTACACCAAATCATGTTATTTTTGGTTATCTGAATCTGGGGTCTGTCCTTCTAAAAATCTTTTAGAAGATTTTTAAAATCAATAAATAGCATAAATAGCATTTTATATTTAATTAGGTTCATTGTTCCATGAATGCAGAGAATAATTAGGTCCATGAAAGGAAGATAAGTCCTCACAGAAGGAAAATTAGTGTTACACTGAAATGTGCTTCAGATGGACAAAAATAGAGGTTCAGATCATTGGATCAGAATTTATTGTGAGCAAATCCAAACACTAAGAGAACATTTCAGGGACCCTGAACACTGCAAAATAATGTAGATTGATTTTTTTACCCTCTGGCATTTGAAATCAAGGCCAGAATGGGGTCTAGAAAGGGAAATAAGATCATTGGCCATATTATATAGCCATTAGGTCCCTTTACCAGTCACTGACCAGTGGGCTGCACATACCCAGTACTCCTTTCTCAGAGAAAGGCTGGAAAATGAGAGAGTGGGGTGAGAGGGGAGCAATCAAACTGGATTGTCCTCTTAAAATCAATGAAAAATTGTAGTCAAAAGATTTGGTTGAGGGTGAACTGAGCATTTTGTACTTTTAATGACCACCAAATGACTGTCTACAACTGGGTAGACTAAAAACACATGTTCTATTGCTGCCAGGTTGTGATCGCTTTTTTCTTATATGAAAGATGGGATATGCTGCAAATAGTATGTACAACATCAAGATAAACCTCATATATTGACAAAATAGTACTAAGGTAGAATCTGGCCTGTTGCAAGCCCAGGGGCACATAACTTTTAATTTAATGATCTATATCCAACCCTCCTGACACCAGATACAATCTAAAATGGTGTTCTCTAGGTATTGGTGACCCAAAGGGGATTTTTTTTCTAAATGCAGCATACTAATAATATAGAATCACCCTGTACGTGTTGTTTTTAAGGGAAAAATATTTTCTGATTTTTCTGTGAGAGTCTATGAAAGATCACTTTTCAGCCATGACTCACGAGCTCCAGCTCCTTGTAGCTATTTGTGTATTTATTCCCAAATGTTTGATGACACCTCCAGGTGCATTAGCATGTCTGTGACAACAAGTGTCCTATTCATCAGCTGAGGCTCCTTCCATTTGTCAAATGTTCTCTGGAAGCCAACATTTATTTATACATGGAGTCACTGTTGTGCTGGTATGTTGGACTTAGCCATCAACAGACCAGAAATAACCTGAATTTTTTTCCATTTGGGTTGTTGTTCATTGTTGATACTGTACATTGTAGCACCCCGGGAAAGGAATGGTTAGAAAAACACAATCTAGTCATAATACTCATTTTTTCCTTCAGTATTCTTATTTTGAGCCACTTGGGCAAGAAGAAAAAAATGAATGTTAGCAAGAAACACCTGGGAAAATACATATAAAAGACAGACTGGAGCTTTTCTAATGAGAGGTTTATAGTAAAAAAAAAAAACCCAAATTTGCAATGTTATATTACTCATATACATACATGATTAAATTGAAAGCTTAAACTTTACTGCAATATTAAGGTTTGTGTAGACACCTTTTAGCATGTTGGATGTAGATAACAAATTTTTTCTCTTCAGGAAAAAATTTTAAAGTGAAGAATGATGTGTCTTTTGAAAGAAGAAGGATAAAAAGAAAGCCTGCCATTTTTGGAATTGGTATCTAAAATTTGATCACCTATCCACATTTCTAACTGCCTTCTAAAAAGTTAAAAGGCTTCACATTTCACATATGTAGAAATTGCTAAGGGGATAAAAATTACTCCCTAGAGAAAAGTAACTAAGAATTTGTCAATTGAATAAGAATAAATAGAGCCCTGAAGAAAAGCTGAAATGTAATCATAGTATTTCTTTGTTCTCTGAGCATGTCTAATAAAGGCTAAGGGGGGGAGTGCAGACTTTTCTCTCTTTATGAAGCTAAAGCTGAACTATGTCCCAGACACTGATGGTGTCCTCCACTTGGGATATTCTGTCCTTTAGGAACTTTTCTGTAAGCATTGTCATTTATCAGCTGGGTTTTTAGAGTTGTGGACCCCTTTGAAGATAATTCCTAGCAAAACATTTTGATCTTGTACACATTATCCCCTCCTTTATGGAAAGTTTTAGTGTGGTAGCTATCCTGCCAGTAGGAATAGCTATTATTCCAGATTCACCCTAAACTCGTTGTGTGAGGGTTTGAAATAATTTCATACCAAATGATCAAAAAGAAATACATGAGGTAAGCTAATTCATGTTTCCCAAAGTTCTACTTAAGATTTCTTTTAAAAACAAAAAGTATTAAAGTTCATGAATTTGACATAGATATTGGTAACATACTTTAGGTATTTCTAGGCTACTTACTTATTAGGCAGTAAAGCCAACATTCCTAGAAGTGCCTATTTTATCTTGATTAATAAATGTTTCCACACACATAAAAATGACTTAAGACAACTGTCAAAGTGAATTCTAAATTATGCCCTTGGAAATCTTTATGTCTATCTGGATACAGAGTTTGGTGGGAATATCAAGTGACCCTGGATTTCTTATTTTTTCCCATTGGTGTATTATAACTGTACATAATATTAGGATTCATTATGCCATATGACCCTAAATTTCTCACACTTGGAGAACAGCCAGGATTCAAAATGCCAACAAATGAGGCTCCTCTTATTGGTACCATTAACTTGAGATTGACTCGTTTATTGTTACTTTTGATTGGTTTAAGACCCTGTTATATAGGAATAATACTGTGCTTCCTTGACTGATGTTTTCAACACACTTTTGTACTTCCTTGTTCATTGGTGAGGCATAGATTATTTCATCATTGGGGTGCCTAGAAACTGAGAGAGTTGCGTTCTAAAACTATGAAAGTAAGCACTGAAGACCTTGGCACTGGGAAAAATACAGAAAGCATTCGCTTTTAAAGTGAGAAAGGCTTGGCAGTTATATCTTTGGTGTTGTGACTTCTATTGCAGTTTTCCTTCTCTTGAAAACTTCTAGATAACTCTAAATGAAATTCTTTGTTTTTTAGCATTTCTTTTTCTTTTTTTATACCTTTATTTTATTCATTTATTTTTATGTGGTGCTGAGGATCTAACCCAGGGTCTTGCATGTACAAGGCGAGCACTCAATCGCTGAGCCACAACCCCAGCACCTAGCATTTCTTTTTCTATTGTATGATGCTGATACTTATATACCATAAAGCTAGGATTCTGAAATTACCAAAAGGTAGAGGACTCCCCTTAATTGGGGTTGTGCATGGTACCTTAATGTAGAAATGTTTGTAATCCAATTTCTGTTTTGATAGACATTAAAAGAGTCTAAAATGAGCACATTCAAAGTTGTATTCTTAATAGAGGCCTCAGTAAGGGAACAAGAGGGACTTTCAGATATAGTCCAAGAAGATAGTCTCTGAAAGGTGAGCTCAGTCAAGCTTCCTAGCCGTGTAGGAAGCCATTGCTGGCTAATCTTACAAAATCTGTTTTTCTGCCAAATGGCACCTAGGAGCCACTGATAATTTAATTTCCTGGCATTTACTCATACTGGAGATTTGTTTGGTCTCACTAGTCAGCTTCTTAACAAGAAAGCAAATCTTTGTTGAGAGCACAGTTTCAATGTGGCAAAGGGAAGACAAGAATCTCATGACATGGGAAAGACCAATGAGAATGGATGAGGGAGAGTGATTTTTCCACATGCTGTCACAGTGACAGGTACTTTTGTCTCTAGGCATGGAGCCACAGACAGTTGAACAGCTGTCTTACATAAACAATACATAGTTCAAGGAGATTGGCCCTGGGTTCACTGTGTGTGTACATTTTGTTTCTAACCCAGTCACACAAGGGAACATCTCCATATTCCTTTTAGGGAAATATGTAAGTAAGAACCATTCTCTTGTCTTCCTTGTCTCTTCACTGTGACACACCTGTCCAAGCAACTGTCCTTACACAAGAATGTCACTCATTTACTTCGCATGCCAGCTCTCTGGAGATGAGGGGGCCTAGATGTATGTCCCTATGAGGCAGAAGGTGTTGTGTGTGTTCAGTGACCCAGTTTCCCTTGTTTGGAGGTTGGCTGCAGAGACTTACTGGGGTCTGAGTGAGAGTTCAACAGCCTGGACCCAGGCTGGTTCCCAGACACAGGGTGTGGTTTCCTTAGCTCACTCTCTGCTGTTTGGTTGCCACTGGCAACAGGATCCAAACAACTTGGACATGTGGTTGTATTAAAAAAAAAAAACCTGGGAATGGAACCCAAAGTGGGAGTCTGGGGCCATTCAGTTGATGGGAGAGCTGCGGTGAGTAGCAGGCAACTGCTCATTTATTTTCCCTCCTTTCTCTCTAAATTATACTTAGGATGCTTGATAACCATGTATGTGGATAGTTTGAAATAAAATACTCTGAGTTCTAGTGTTCCTTGCATAGATTAGATAATTGCTCTCAATTTACTTGTACAGATTTCTTTTTTCAGAAGGAGAGGAAAAATTAGCATATGTGTAAAGAAATTGTGAGCTAATAGAAACTTATAATTTGGTACTTTCCCGGGCACAAGATTCCTTAGAAAATGACTTGGCAAAGGGGCCACAAAAGGCCTTGGAAGTGCTCAGGATTGTTCTGGCCTGTTGTCTAGGGCTACGGCTAGCCATGGCAGGGCTGGGGGAATAAGTGGAGGCTGTTCATGAGAAGGGACTTCTGAGATTCTTGGAATAATCAGCTAAAACCTTTGTAAAAAGTCATTTTTTCCACATTGTATTTTAAACTTGCAGTGTTTTAAACAGCACTTGTCCCAATTGGTGAATATACTTTAGTGAATATACTGATTCTCACTTGCTTGATCCAAAGGCGATTTGATTTTGGTTTGTCACAAAACCACATATCACTATGACAAAATTATTCAGTTGCGAAATATGCTGGTGCCTGTCAAGAATGCCATATTGATAAATACTTTGTGGCCCTATTGCTCAGGCTTCAAAAGTCAGTAAACTGTCAGGGGTAAAACTTTTAGGGATCTATTCAAGGACTACAAACATTTCTGCTAGATTTCAAGTAAATTAAAATGAATTCTTGAGGAACTTCTGTACCTAGTATGGTACAGAGTTAGCAGTTAAGTTTTGTTCATGACAAATAGAATTGGACAGATAGGAAGATAGTAAGGCCTGCAGAGAATACTTTTTTCTACCTAGAAAGTGATGGGAAAGGGGGCAACAGCTGGCAGGGAGGCTTCTGTCTTGTAATATGGTAACCAGGGCAGTCCTTGGAGCATAGGGCCTGGCCCCTGTCTCCTCCTGTGGACCGGGCTGCCAATGTGGGCATCTCCCCAAGAAGCTGCTGTGTGCACATAGTATGCCTGCTGCTCTTTTTTGTGTGAAACTATTTCTTCTTCCTCTCTGCTCCATCATACTCCCTCAATCTCTCATATTCACTGCTCACTATGACCTCATCTTCCAAAATCCCAGTGTGGTAATCCCAGCCAGCAGAAGATCTGATCCCCTTATCCTCCTCAGTTTCCTATGAGAGTCAGCATAGTGGTATGTCCCAGCAGGGATTTCTGTCATCTCCCCAGGGAGTTGCTGGCCCTTGGCCTCTTGCACTCAGGGAGTTCCACTCAGAGCACTTTCTTCTTGGGAATCATAGTGAAGTATCTGCTGCCTTGGCACCAGATGGCCAGTCAGTCTCCACTGGAAGCTGGGCTCCGGTTCCCAGAGGAAGCTGGGCCTTGGTCCCCAGATCCCACGGACTCAGAGGGTTTTATTGGTCACACAGTAGTGCACAGATATTTCTAGGACCCTCTTCTGTAGAGTGCCCTAGCTCTTCCATTGGTCATTTGTTCTGCTGGCTTGCCTCCACAGGTCCCTCCAGCTATAGGGTGGGCACTATGGCTGAGAAGTTCGACTGCCACTACTGCAGGGACCCCTTGCAGGGGAAGAAGTACGTGGAGAAGGATGGCCACAACTGCTGCCTGAAGTGTTTTGACAAGTTCTGCGCCAATACCTGTGTGGAATGCCGCAAGCCCATTGGTGCCGACTCCAAGGTAATGATCATCCCTATGTGTGAGCAGGACAGATTGGGCTTTGGAGTGTACTTTTCCTGCAGCTGTGACAATAGCTTTCTTTGTGAGTTCTCATCAGGGTAGCCATCTTGAGACCTTGAGATGGCCTCTCCAGTCCCTGAGACTGTTCCTGGTGTCCTGAGATGTTTAATATGTGCCTTGGACTAGAGGGATGCCAAGGCCCTTGCTAGCTCTTTTGGTTGTACAGGTTGAGTCTCCCTTATCTGAAATGCTTGGGAGCAGAAGTGTTTCAGAGTTTAGATATTTTTTGGATTTTAGAATATTTACATACCCATGTTTATATACCCATGATGAGTATCTTGGGGATGGGACCCAAGTCTAGATACAAAATTTCATATACATCCTGCACACATAACCTGAAGGTAATTTTATACAAATTTTTAAATAATTGTGTACATGCAGCTTACTGTGTGCATTGCAGAGGAAGGGGCTCTGAAGATCTTTTTTCCCCTTGGGGTCACTGAATAAACTGTGCCGTGTGCCTGGGTTTTGACTCCCCCCTGGCAAATGAGCTCAGGTGTGGAATTTTCCACTTGTGGCATCGTGTTATCTCTCGAAAAGTTTCAGATTTTGGAGCATTTTGAATTTCAGATTCCGTGATTAGGACTGCTCAACCTGCACCCTCTATATTTCAGGAAATGTGAGTTTTTCATCCTCACCTCAGTGTTTCTCTTGCTACTGAATACTTACCCCAGGGCATCCCCAAGGCATAGGGGACTGCAGCATCTCAGTAGTCAGTCAGTCCTGGGGAAAGTAGCCTTGATAGGAGGCTGCTTCCATTGCCCCTGACACCCCTCACAGTGGCCTGCCCCACTCTGCTTTGTTTCTAGGAGGTGCACTACAAGAACCGCTACTGGCACGACACCTGCTTCCGGTGTGCCAAGTGCCTTCACCCCTTGGCCAATGAGACCTTCGTGTCCAAGGAGAGCAAGATCTTTTGCAACAAGTGTGTCACTCGGGAGGACTCCCCCAAGTGCAAAGGGTGCCTCAAGGCCATTGTGGCAGGTACTATCTCTCTCCCACCCTGGGCTGCCAGGGAGGAGGCCCTGAGGGCAGGCGTGATTTCGGGCTTGCTTGTCACGGTGGGGCTAACGTTGCTGTGAGCTGCTTTGAGATTTTAGCATATATATGTACACATATACATACACGTATATATGCGTACACATATATGCTCGCACACACGCACACACTCGGAGACTAAAGAACACTGGCAAGAACAGCTTGTGGCAAGAGAATGAAGTGAAAAGTATGTAGCGCTTTCTCATTTGGGTGTAGTAAGTGATCAAAGCATGTTTCTTTCTGGGGTGTAATTCTGGATGTGGCAGCCCCCTGTTGAACCTCTAAGTCCATGTAGGGGGTAGAGGCGGGGGACTGGGCATTCAGGCATCTCATCCTAAATTAATACTGCTGGGGTCCCTACTCATGACGAAATCCTGGGTTGGCACAACTGCAAGTAGCACACCAATAGGCTAGTTGGAGGCGTGAGGCCAGTAACTGCAGGGCCTGCATCCCCTCACTTCTGTAGGGCCCAGAGGAGGGGAGATGAGTGGATGCAGCCCCCTGCAGTGCCTGTCAGTGGGGCTATCCGGTTGCTTCTCCCTGCAGGAGACCAGAATGTGGAGTACAAGGGAACCGTCTGGCACAAGGACTGCTTCACTTGCAGCAGCTGCAAGCAAGTCATCGGGACTGGAAGCTTCTTCCCTAAAGGGGAAGACTTCTACTGTGTGACTTGCCATGAGACCAAGTTTGCCAAGCACTGCGTCAAGTGCAAGAAGGTATGTTGTCAAGGGAATTCTGCACTGACCTTTGTTTCTAGAAGTGTTTCACAGTTTGCGAGCACTTGCACACACACTATCCCATTCCATCCTCATGACAGCCCTGTGACGTAGGAATTATTATGCCCATTTTGCAGATGAGGAGACTGTGGGGTGAGAAAATAGTGCCATGACCAAGTCAGGCTCCCCGTGTGTGCACTCACTGTGGTGGTGTGGCACGGCGCTGGCACTGTGCTCTGAGCCAGGGAAGCCCTGGCTCCAGAGGCCTGCTTTTGCTGCTTAATTGTTGGAATCTCACAGAGGGGCTTGCCTTCTCTGGGCCTTGGTGTCTTCATCTGTAAATTGGGGATAATAATAGCACCTGCCTCCCATGGCTGTTGTGGAGATAGAAGGAGATTATGTATACCAAAGCGCCCAGCACAGTGCCTGGCATGTTGTAGTCATTCAACAAAATGGTTGTTGAATCTGAATCCGGTGCTACACCCCCTGGTCTAGGCCATCACAACTGGAGGAATCACTTACCAGGATCAGCCCTGGCATGCCGAGTGCTTTGTGTGTGTTACCTGCTCTAAGAAGCTGGCTGGGCAGCGTTTCACCGCTGTGGAGGACCAGTATTACTGCGTGGATTGCTACAAGAACTTTGTGGCCAAGAAGTGTGCTGGATGCAAGAACCCCATCACTGGTAGGCTAAAGAGTCCTTGCTAAGTCTGCCAGGCTAGGTTTTACGCATGGTAACCATCTCTCATTTTCCTATGTCGTCGGTTTCATCCACAAAGGCCCCAAAGAATGCCCTTCTGCCCCTGCCACTGTGCTCCCAAAGGTCCCACAATAGTTTGGATTCTCCCCCAGGTCAGGTTAGCATTTGCAATACAGAACACTTCCTGAATACTGCTGAATAGCTAACCACGCCAGGAGTTCACAAGCCTGAGACCATGGGGGTGGGGTGGGGGGTGCGGAGGGGGGGAGGCACTGCAAAGGGGGGTTGGGGGGAGAGGGAAAGGGGGGGATGCTGGTGGGGATGGGGTTGGGGGAGGGGGAGGGCCAGGGAGGCCGGAGTGATAACCTGGGATGGGGACACCCCATAGTTGAAGGCTAGCGCAGAGGTACCTGCTGGCAGGGTTTATTTTTTTTTATTTTTTTATTTTTTTGCGATCAGAAGCAAAGCTAATCACTTCATTCCTCATCTCGCGGCCGCGATCCACGTGCCCCGGGCCCTTTCCCCTGCCTCCAATTATCCCATCTCCCGGGGGAGCCTTGAAATGTACATTTGAGAAGACTTTTGCCATCCTCAGGGAAAAGGACTGTGTCAAGAGTGAGCCACCCAGTCTCTAAAGCTAGGAAGCCCCCAGTGTGCCACGGGAAACGCTTGCCTCTCACCCTGTTTCCCAGCGCCAACCTCCGGGGCAGGCATCCGGGTGGAGAGAGGACTTGTCCCTCGTGGGTGGTGGTTCTTTATAGAAAAAATCGAAGCTTAGCAGCTCCTCGAGGCCCGGTAAGTGCACACCCCACAAACAGCCCAAGTTTGCCTCCTGGTGGCCACTTTGATGCCATGGCCCTGACCTAAATCAAAAGAAACTGATTATGCTGGGAGGTCCGGTGCGGTGCGCGTCACAGGGCGATAGCAGTGGCATGGGAATGCGGGTTCTTTAAATCAGGGAAGCCTTTGGCTGAGCTCCGGCATTTTCTCAGGTCCTTGAGAGCCGTAGCAGGGTTGCAGCGGCGTGGGGCCAGTGCGCGGTGGAGTGGTGGGGGGCTGGGAGCAGGCCAGACACTGACTCTGCGTGCTTGTCGGCTCTGTGAATGGGGCAAGTCATCATTTTATCTCTGAACCGCATCTTCCTCACCTGTATTCATTCAGCTGTCTCTCTCATTTTCTTTTGTTTTTCCACAGGGTTTGGTAAAGGCTCCAGTGTGGTGGCCTATGAAGGACAATCCTGGCACGACTACTGCTTCCACTGCAAAAAATGCTCCGTGAATCTTGCCAACAAGCGCTTTGTTTTTCATGGGGAGCAAGTGTATTGCCCTGACTGTGCCAAAAAGTTGTAAATCGACAGGGGCCCCTGTCCTGTAAAATGGAATTTGCATCATGTTCTTTGTGTCCTTGCCCTCTCTGCCCAACACCATCTATAGGGGAAGAGTGTGGCCTTTCACCTCTTTAAAGTTGCTCCTTCTGTCTTTTCTCCCATTTTACAGTATTTGTCACATAAGGGCACACAGTGATCATGTTAGGATTTAGCAAAAAGCAACCTTTGCAGCAAAGCTCATTACTCTATGGCTGCAATGAAAAAACAAAACAAAAAAACAAAAAACAAAAAAAAACCAAAAAAACAAAAACTTAGATAGATTGACTCTTCTGCATGTTTATCATAGAGCAGAAAAGTGCTAACCATTTAGCTCCTTCGTGATGTAAGCAAGAAGCATATGTGATAAAGCCCCCACTGAGATATCTTTTGTGGCTCAGCTGGGACCCACCATGTAGTGACATGACATGCAAGAGTTGCAGCGGCTGCTCCAACTCACTGCTCACTCTATTCTGTGAGCAGAAACAGAACTTGCTGGAATGCATGGTGTAACTTTTTCATGAGAATTCTGACTTCTGTTCTTTTGTGCTTTCACTTGACTAACAAGAATTTCCAGAAAATTAACATTTGAACTTAATGGTAATTCTCACCTGACCTTTCCCCTATACTAACATTGGATTTCCTGGTGTGGCATGTTTTCTGAGTGTTCCTACTTTAAAACATGGAACATACGGGTGATTTGGGAAGTGTAAACAGACCTGAGAAAACGAGCCTGTTTCAGAGCAACAGTGTCACAGCGAGTACTTATGGAAGCTTATCAAAACTAACCCTGCTGTCCTTTTTATATTTTTTAATTAATGATATTTTTGTTTTAATTAATAGTAAAATAGTTTATGGGTTTGGAAACTTGCATGACAATATTTGAGCCCCCTCAGACATACTTGCAGTTTTGAGAGTCATCCTACAAAAGTGACTATAAAACTCTAGAGGGGTAGCTGAGCAGGCGCCAGGGCTGTCATCAGTGTGGTTGTGACATTTCAAAACCGTGACAAGTTGAATTCCTTGTAACATAGTAGTTGTCTGCTCTTTGTCCATGTGTTCAAGAGGACTGCAAAGTCCCTTCTCTTGTGATTACTAAGACTTTTCCTTAAGAGTTTAGCTGGATCTCTGGGGGAGTGGGGAGGCCACCGTCCTTACCAGCAGAACCAGATTTCCACCTCCTGCTTCCCTGAAATGCAGGATCACCTACTTACTGTATTCTTCATTATTATATTACATAGTATAATGAGACAATATCAAAAGTAAAATGTAATGACAATACATATTAACATTCTTGTAGAAGTGGTTATAGAAGCCAATGCCTCATTTCTACATTTTGTCATTAGATATTATCATCTAACGTTTCAGTGTATCCTTACAGAAATAAAGCAGCATAGAAAGAACTTGCCTCCTGTCTTTCAATTCTGCGCAGAGGAAGCACTACAACCTGATAGTACTAAACTGGAAATCCAAGTAACTTCTTCTGAGAGATTTTCCTCAGCTCAGTGCAATTACTCTGAACATAAAGATTATAAACAAGCCTATAATGCCACTTTGATCTAGTTAAAAAATAAAACCTAGTGACCACTCTGACCCCAAAATAGCATGCCCCAGATTTGCATCTCTTAAAAATGATGAGTTGATTCTATTTGGCCAGGGTGGTGTGAGTGGGGTGGGGAGGCAATCCCAGATGAGGCATGTCACTGAGAAGTAATCATGGTCCCTGATTGTTTCAGAAGGATCTTCCTCTTGGCTCCTTTCCTCTTGGGCCCTCTGGAGACCATGATCCATGCTGAGCACTACTGTAGCCCAACTGCATAGTCTCTGCCCTCTACTTTAATGAGACCCAGTTTCCTCCATGAGGTTTGGGCCCATGTCTCTTGTTAGGGCTGAGGGGTTAGAAGAAGTGTGGGCAGAGGAAGAGGCTGGTCCAGCATACAGCTCCCCAGTTGCTATAGCTTTCAGATCACCACACACTGACATAAGTGGTTCACACATCCCACCCACACCCTTGTGGTGGGTTCTGTATAGTTCAGGAGTCCCAGGGCATCAGAAAGCTACTGTGCCTGCCTTCTGGAATGGAAGGGTCTAACAGGCCCTAAGGGCATCTCCTCATTGCACTTCAGCTAACAGGCAGAGTTGGAGGGATGAGAGGGTGTTAGGTTTTGATGGGCTCCATGGCTACGGCAGAATCCCTTAGTAGCTAACATTTACCATCTCAGAAGAGGATAGAAACCTGTCAAAAACCACTGGGGTTTTTGTTTTGGTTTTTGGTGCTAGAGATTGAACATGAGCCTTGCACAACCATGAATGTTTTTAAGAACATGGAACATCCCCTTGTGTTTCTCTAGATCAAATTTGATATCAAAAACCTTTAAACCAACAGAGAGTCTGTCCAGTCTTCTGGGGACCCCAGGGAGCAGGAGTGGTGGGTTAGGGAGTAGAGAGCAGCTGTTCTCTCTGCTTCTCAAGGGAGCAGGTTCTTGAAACTACAACAAGGAAAAAAAAACCCAAAGGGACAGAAAAGCCACTCCCTTCCCTGAATACTTGGAACCTGGCTTATGCCCTTTTCCCCAGGAGAGCCCATGACAGCACCCCAGTAATCTCCACTTCTGCAAGCTCTACTTGGGCCAGGCGATGGGCCTTTCCACACCCAAGCTCACCCTCCTTTACCCAGAACTCCTGTCCTTCTGGAAACTGGCACTTACCTTGCTGGTTCCTTGGCCTCTATAGTCTGCTCATTGCTCTAAACTCCTCTGTTTTCCTACCTTTACTTCCCCTCCAAATCTGTCCTAGATTGCTCCCAGCACCTCAATCATTCTTTTCTTGCCTTCATTCTGTTACCTTCACCCCCAGTCCAAAAAACCTGAATTAGTGGCCTGAGTTCTACTGAGGAACAGCCACATTGCCTAACATTCCTAATACAGCCACTCCACTACTTGGTCACATTCCCAACAGATTGCCTCCACCATCTTCTTCACCTAAGACATGGAGGCCTATCAAGTGTCTGCCTTCAGCAATTGCTCAGCACTTAGTACTTAAACATCTTCAGAATACCTCATACATTTTGGATCTGCTCCTCCAGCCCATGCTAGGCCCATTGTTTCCATTTTCTAGATGAGAAAATGGAGGTTCAGATGGGTTGAGAAGCTTGCCTGACAAGCCACACCCTCTAGTTTATCAATGGTGACACTGCATTGTCATTAAAAGGAATGCATCACAATAAGGAAACTACCATGCACTATGCTCAATACTTTACAAGGCAATTGTGTGTGTTGAAAAAGCAACAACTGTAAGGCTCAGGAGGAATGAGGGTAAAATTCTACTTACCACGTTGTCAATAAAGAGGCATTTTCATCCTCAAAGGGGATCAGAATATCAAAACAGGCCAACTAAGGCTAATAGGATGGTGTCAGGAGCCAGGCTGCCTGTTCAAACCTTGGCTGCTCTGCCATCTTTTAGCGATGAGACCTTTGGCAGTTCCCTAACTTCTCTGAGATTGTTTTTTTTTTCACCTTTAAAATGAGACTCCTACTTTGCCAAATCACATGCAGATGACATGATTATGAGTGCTTAATGAGTGGGGTGACTGGCATCCAGTAAATGTAATCAATGTTAGCAAAAATTTTCTCCCCAGCACCAAAGACACTGCTCTGGTGTCCCTGACCTACCCTGTAAGCCAAAAGACAATTTTACTCCCATAGCAGTAGGGAGGTGTCTTCAAATTTGAAGAGACTTAAATTCAAATACCAGCTCTTCTTCCTCTTTCTAGTTGTACAACCTGGAACAAATGCCAACCTGTATAAATGGCAATGTTCTGTAAGTAAAAATGAATACCACACCTCATAGGGTTGTTGTGAGGATTTAAAATGATGTCTCTAAAGAGCTGGCATATGGTACATGAGAGCTGACCACCATTATACCACAGAATTAGAGAAGTAGAGGAGCAGCTAGGACCCATCTGGAAACACTAACTGGACTGCTGGGAAGGGAGATGTTCTGCTTAAACAAACCAGGCCAGGGGAGGGGCACTAAAAGTAACAACAGGGAATTGACCCCTGATAAGATTAAGTGATGGACAGTTTGCCTTCCACCTCTGGCTCCTTGGCAGTAACTCCTGTTTCATATCTCCTGATGTTCTGGACCCGACCAGAATGAGTGGCATTTAGCAATGTCAGAATTACAGAATCAAAAGGGCCCAGAGTCCCCTTCATTTGATAGACAAGGAAAAGGGCTCAGAGAGGAGAGGCAGTATGCACAAAGTCACACACACACACACAAATCCTTGTGGCTAGGATTCAGGTCTCCAGGGTACTGTGGAGCACTGACAGGATCCCATATTGCACTGCTGGGTTTTCTAGGCACTGAAGCTGTGTAAAGCTTCATTATACATGCAGTGCCCATGATAACAGTGATGTAAGAAATGTGCTCATCTGTAAAACCTGGTAGTGGCCAGACATCTGTGTCTCAGGGAGAGGGGACCTAAAAGCTATAGAGGAGGGAAACATGAGGGGATAAGCAGGGAGAAGGCTAGGGATTCTGTTACCTTGGACTTGTAAACAGAACACCCTGGTTCAGCAGTTCCAACAGATGAAGCAACAGTACCTGGTACCTGACTTGGCAGTGAAGAACTCCTCAGATAAATACATGGAGGGTGGTACCTTTGGCAGGAATGGGATGTGTCTAGCTTGTGTTGATTCAAATGTACATAGAATGCTCTTGAAAGGTCAGTGGAGAATGGCTACATAACTGCCAGGCCCCAAATACCTGGGATAACAAGTACCTGGCCTTTTCAAAAAACTTAGTGGAGGAAAGCAAGTTCATTAAACAGCCGGATGCGACACATGCCTGTAATCCCAGTGGCTCAGGAGGCTGAGGAAGGAGGATCATGAGTTCAAAGCCAGCCTCAGCAAAAAGTGAGGCCCTAAGCAACTCAGTGAGACCCTGTCTCTAAATAAAATACAAATAGCGCTGGGGATGTGGCTCAGTGGTCAAGTGCCCCTGAGATCAATCCCTGGTTACCCCTCCCCCAAAAAAGGGTCAAACTAAACATCTGTGGGTATATCAGAATATTTGTTTGATCATTCACAGTTAACAGTAATGTAATGAAGAAATGTACATATAAAATAGCACACAAACTGCCTGAGTATAGACTTTAAAAAACAAGCAAGTATCGCCAGGTGTGGTGGCACAAACCTATAATCCCAAGGGTTTCGGAGGTTGAGGCAAGAGGATTGTGAGTTCAAAGCCAGCCTCAGGAACTTAGTGAGGCCCTAAGCAACTCAGTGAGACCCTGTCTCTAAATAAAGAAATACTGGGAATGTGGTTCTGTGGTTAAGTAAGTGCCTCTGGTTCCCTGGGTTCAATCCTTAGTACCAAAAATCAATCAATCAATCAATCAATCAATCAAGCAAGCAAGCAAGCAAGCAAAAGTGAGCAAAAGAAAGAATAAAGAAATTAAGAAATGTAGAGATAGATTTCCTCTTCTGAGTCAAGCACTGAATTCAAGGATTCAATATTTAAAAGGCCAGGGGAATAGATATCTTTTCTGAAATGTTCTGGAACTAGATAGTGGGGACACCTACACAACCTTGTGAACGTACACTTCAATTACAACAATGACTTTTCGTTGGATGTAGTGATATGCACCTGCTGCCCCAGCTACTCAGGAGGCTGAGGACTGTTTGAGCCCAGGCGTTTGAGGCCAGCCTGAGCAACACAGGGAGACCCCATCTCAAAGAGAAAGAAAAGAAAATGGTGACTATTAGATTATGATTTTTACAATAAAGAGATTTTAACAATGGGCCTTGATGATAAGTGCAAGCCATCACAGGAAGAGCAACAAGCAGCATCCTAAGAGTTGAAGGAAGAAGTTAAGAGTTGGAAGAAGAGTTCTTACTGTCCTAGAAGTGTAATTCTGTCTAATCACCAATTAGATGAAGAGGGAAAGCAGAAGATTTGATTACTAGTTCTTGACCTTACTGGTTCCTTGTGTTCATAGTTTAGTTAACAACTTGGTATGACCAGTACCAGTACATTTTTTGCCATTATAATGAAAACAAAAATTGCTTTATCTGTGAAGTTTATTTCATACAGATCAGAGTTACAGGGAACGGTAACAATGTTTCAGCGTGTGACATTTGTGCAGAAAAATAGCATTTCATATTTTAAGATGATTGTCTCTGCCTTTTATACAAAAAAGCTAGTGTATAAAAATAGTTTTAAACCTTAGGCATCCTGCCTAATCTATAACAAAGGTACAGTACTCTGTGTAGCAAAGAACTAGGCAATCAGAAAGAATCATTACCTTCATTGACTAATCCAAGACTGGTGGCCAAAAGGAACACAGGCCTGATTCAAACTATTTGTGATTCAACACTAAATGCTCATTACCATTAGGACAAGGAATCTGCATTCAAGTTTTATGGAATCATATAGCCTATGTGTGTACGTATGTACGTATGTGTACATACATCTGTGTGCCTATCACGGGAACTGAAGAATAACACTGCTGCTGTCCTCACCTGCAGCCAGTGCCTAGAGAAAGGCAAGTATGTTTTGGTTACATATCCTAAGCCTATACTGATGGACAGAACTAGGAAGCACAAACAGAAAAAGATGATAAATATTCAACATTTAGAGGAATTAAACATACCCCATGAGACAATGGCCAAGTACTGCTTTATGGACACAACAAATATAACCCATCTTTTGGTAGATAAGCCCCAATATGTACTTCAAAGGAAACACTGACAGGAGTGTGAGAGATGCTGAATGCTCCAAGTTTATGCTTTCCAAGACTGCCAGCATTTGTGGGTATCAATGCGGGGCACTGACAATAGAAGAACTGAAATATGCATATATTATGCTCAAATTTTACTATATCATGCAGCCTTTGGCATTTGTATATTAGAGACAATTTTGCCAGCAATCCTGAGTGCCTCACATCTTCTATCAAGTTCTCCACAAAATCAAATTTTCTAGTAGTTAAATTGATGTCATTGTCAAACAAGAATCATTAAGACTTCTAATATATGCTGAAAGAACATCGTTCCTTTAATAGAGTTCTTTTAGAAACTCAATAGTTATTACCTAATGAAAGCACCCTGGATATACACACTCCAACACACATGGAGATACACACAAAAGACAATCATGATTTTTTAAGGGAAACCAAAGCATTTCTTTTTAACTCAGAACTCTCACAAGAGAAAAAAATGATATGAACACCTTCCAAGACAGATGTCAGGGTGACCTTCGGATGTATCCTTTCTTTTTTGTTTTAATGGTCATTTCCTTTGCCAGGTTCAAGTATGAAGCAGGCGAATTCTGAGGCATAGGCCTGGGAGTTATCCAGAGTGGAGGATAGATCAATCTTCTAGGCTGTATGAGGTTTATGTATCTAAGCAGAGGGAAAAGGAAAGAAAGACCAGTAGAGAAGATGCTGGTGGTCTCATGGCAACTTGTCCCTGGCCTCCTTTTGGGGTGGGCCTAGGACTCCCTGGACTGACACACTGGGTCCCTTAAAATGTTCCCCTCCTCCTAGATCCCCAAAGGAGCCCACACTGCCTCACTTGATTTCTAAGAGAGCTTCTCAAGAGAAACAATGGTCTTTTGGATCTTTTGGTTTTGGAAACAGAGGATGAGGGACTAATTCCAAAGACCTTCCTGGACCTCTGACCTAAAGGAAAATTATGTACTTGTCAAGTTGCTGGCGGATCAAGAGCTCTGAGGAATCTGGATCTTGAAAAGAACTTAGTTTTTTGTATCTGACAGGAAATGCAGGACATAAAAATTAGAAGCAAGCCATCTACTCTCTCAAAACTAACTTAATGGAAGACTCTTCTAAAGCATTCCTGCAGACTCAACACCATCTTCTTCCTCTCCTCCAAAGAATGCCCTACTGCTAGAAGTAGGAGAGGGTTCAAGGTCAACTGCCTTTGGAGCAAAGCAGAGATGGGATGAGGCCTTACTGGAATTAGCAGGCACAGATTGGCTTTTTTTCTTATGGTCTGTAGGCATCTGAGGATTTGGGTGGGATGTCACAAAATCCTTCAAATTTTGTTTGTGGCTATCAGGGGTGACATTTGTGTCTGGTGATTCAGTGTTGTGACTACTACTGTCAATTTTGCCATAAGTCTGCTCCTGAGGTGTGCTGACATTCGGGATGGATTGGGTGGTGGTGCTGAGTTCCTTTGCTTTTCCAGTTTTTGCTGTGCGTGTAGATGATCTTTTGGTAGATGACCTGGAGAGAGATGTTTTGGTTAAGATCCAGATAGTACCAGGCCCAGTGGCACACCCCTATAGTCCCAGCAGCTTAGGAAGGCTGAGGCCAGCCTCAGCAACTTAGTGAGGCCTTAAGCAACTCCGCAAAACCCTGTCTCTAAATAAAATATAAAAAAAGGGCTGGGGATGTGGGTCAGTGGTTAAGTGCTCTTGGGTTCAATCCCTGGTACAAACAAAACAAAACAAGGTCCAGATAGTTCCAAAACCAAGCCTGTACCCTGAAAAAAGCATTATTTTTTAGTTAACTTCTAAACGATTAATGAACTTCCTGAATCCTAGCATGGGAAGGCTGGAAGGGACCAGGGGATCACACACTGCTTTTCAAATTGCATTCTTGAAAGCCCTACAGTGCCACAGAGGTACCAGGACATAGGGAGCAGATAAACACATAGGAACCCAGTCCCCCTCCTTCAAGTTGGTCAAGGGAAATGTCCACTATGGCACAGTTAGAGAAGCAGAGTAGGATTTGTAACTCTAGAGCTCTTTTCAACTGTTTCTGAGCCTCTTAGCAGCCTTGTGTTTCCACAGGCCCTTATAGGTTAAACATCTTTTCAGGTAATCACCCAACTACTATTCCTTTCCAAGAAACTAACCTCTAACTTGGTTCCCCATCTAAAAAATGAGGATATTATTACCAATCTCACAAGTACTGTGAGAATTAAAGTAGGCCATGTAAAAGGCCTGGTTTACAACAGGCATAATAAATAAATGGCCCCTTTTCTGATTTTATGAAACAACAGTCATTATGTAAAGAAAAGCAGTTTGGGCTCTGCCATTTAGCAGTGGGATGTTGAAGAAATCCCCTTAGCTCACTGCACCTCAGTTTGGTTGTCTAATCAGGAGGAGGCTCTTTACCAAGCAAGGCTATAGTGGGACTTAGCTTATTTCTGTAAAGTTGAGTGTTTGGCATGTGCAAACTAAGAGCTCAAGAAATAATATTGCTTGGCATTCTAAGAAGGTCAATCATAATCCCCCCCAAGTTTATTCAGATAAATAAGATGCAGAGTGACTTACTTTAAGCCTTTTGCTTGAGTCGAAGACTCTTTCAGGCTTTTTTGCCTAAAAGGTTTCAAATCACCATTAAAATATGATTTCTTTTCTTTATCGGTCTCACCAGTTGTGGCTTGTAAAAACACCAGTTTCTGAGGCATTTTCTTGGCATTTTTATAAGGCATTTTGGGCTTGTTAGGTGACTCTCTGCCATTTCCATTGGCTAGGGAAGAGAAAGGAACAAAATTAAAACTGGAGTTTCAAACAACACAAGAAAAAGAAAAAGCTGCAATCCTGAGTAGATGCGGGTGCCTGACACAGAGGGCATCAGGCAGGTAACACTCTGGGGAGCCAGGCCTACCACCCCCGGCTGCTTGTGGTGCTTGAGCTACAGTCAGCACTGCCCAGTACCTGCACTCACCCTGCCCTCCATGCACAAAGGGGCCACCTTTAAGGAACCTGTCCTGTCTCCTGAAAAACTGGTGGACCAGTGGGTAGGGCTACTTCTTGCTACTCACACCTGGCATTCATCTAGAACAGGCTGGCCCTGAGTTTGTCTTGCCCCCAAATGCTACTTCTCACACTGGACTCTCCTGTGGGCTCTCCTCCTTCCAGCCGACCCAAGGCTTCTGTCCTAATGCCATACACTGGCTGCACTCTCACCTGACTTCTTTGAACCGAGTCCTTGTGTGGTAGTAACCACTCTCTGTTCAGGTGTCTATCTCCCCATGGCTTTTCAGTACCTTGAGAATACCCTGCTTACCTGTTCAATGTCTGCTTTCAGGATAAATATGGATCAATAGTGTTTTCTCAAATGCCCATTACTATGAAGTATTTCCTACTTGGAGGGAGTCACCAATATATTTCAAGAGGGTATGAGCATCATGACACAATTTCAATTTTTTCTTATAAGTTAGAAAGTCAAATCCCACCTAGAGTTAATCATGGCTGCCTTCTGAGGCTCTGAGCTATGTCAGCAGTCCTCATATTCTACTGAGGAAAAGCTAGCACCTACAATCTAATAGCATATAGTGTAAAATTAAGAAGCAGTGGCAAATATTTATTGACAGTTTACTACATGTTAGCTGCTATTCTTAGCATTACTCAGATTTATCTCACTGAAATCTCATGCCCAACCCTGGTAAAGAGACATTATCTCTCCCTCTTGCAGATGGTAAAGCTGGGCACAGAGAGGTTAAATGACTTGCCCAAGGTCACAAAGCTCAGATGTGAAGGAGCCCTTAAATATAAACCAAGGCAGTCCAGCTCCTTCATGGCAACTAATGGAACATTAGGCACAAACAAACCTGATGGGAACATTTTATCAAGGGAGTCCTCATCACTTTCTGTCTCATCCTCATCATCAGCTTCATCCTCTTCAGATGTATTACTGCCAGATATTTCTGAGGCCTATGGTCAAAAAAGAAAATCAATATTATATCTAATATTCAATCATTCTGGCTTAGAATTTCAGAGAATTTAGATATCAAGACTGGATTGATGGCTAACTTTCAATACTTCAACTATAAGATAAAAAAAAATTCTAACAACATTAAGTGGTCCAAAGAATGGGGACAGGGGCAGGTTGCCCTTGTTGTGTCTTTCAGCTAGAGAAAGACCCTCAAGAATTAAAGATTTCCCTGAGCAAGAACAGACACTACAGCCTTGAACTGGTATTCATCATCTCTGCTTAGAATTTTACTAAAGACAGGGTGGCTTAATAGTATAAAAACTGAACAATTGTAAAAAGGCAAAATATAAGTTTTGTAACATAGGATATAAAGAGCAGCACAGAATCTAGGAAAAAGGCACGTGCTCAATCAAAAGACATACTGTTGGGGGAAGCAAATAATGATGCAACAGACACAGAAACTTTCCACCATAAAGGGGAGAAAAACTGGAGTTTGCTAAATTGAAGAACATCTGGTCCATTAAACTAATATTATGTGAGGCAAACCAGTGTGGGAGAAGCTCCCTGTAGTACATATATCTAAAGGACTCCTCACTGGGGTAGGCAAAAACTCCTACAAAGGCAAGTGACAAAATAGGAAAATGGGCAAATAACTTGAAAAGACATGTCACCAAAGGGAATCTCCAAATGGTCAGGAAGCATATCAAAAAGCACTTGACCTCATTAGTCATCAGAAAGTATTGATAAATTCAACAGCAATGACAGTAGGAGCTTCTACCTAGCAGAAGATGACAATTCAAAAAGCCAAACCATTTGGAGGGTGAGGATATTTACAACACACAACCTAAAAAGCAGCAATATCTAGGAGATTTAAAGTGCAAGAAAAAGTCAAAACAACCAAAAGATTTAGGTAAAAAGACCTATAAAGCATTTCACATGAGAGAAAATATGAAAGCTAATTAAAGACAGGAAAACGTGTTCAACCTCTGTAATGATCAGGGAAATGTAAACTTGATACTTTTTTCCATGGCCATAAGATCAGCAAAAAGGCTAAAGTTGGCAAGGATGGGAAGTAAGAGGCATTCTTTCTTTTTTTTAAAAATACAGGTGTTCAATGATTTTTATTTTTTAAGAGGAATTCTTATATACTGCTGGCAGTAGAATGGAGACTACCTTTGTGATGTTCACATCTGTCTTTCTTGTCCGCTTCATTATTTCCTCAATTCTCTATTAAAAGGAAAACAAAAAGTCAAACATGAAAAGAGATTAAAAACCAATGGTCCTGAAGCAGTTGATTATCTCCATCTTACACAGGTGGACAATGACACACAATGTATGCTCCAAAACCATAGATTTCACCCACAAAAGACATGGCAGGACAGCTGGCCTCCCTGTTCTTCTGAACTGGTTTCAGCTATAATATGCCATGAATGGTGACAGTTGTACTTTTTATTACAACATAGATACCCAAATGACAATTTCTTACTTCTATTTTCACATAGACATTAATTAGAGTAAGCATATTTTATTGCAGACAAATTGGAGTTTTTAGTAGGATTTTAGTCTTCACGGACCTTTCCTGAGGCTAAATGAAAATAATGCACCTCAGTCATGGCACTGTCAACAGATTTCGTTACTAAAAATAGACAGGAGGCTGACAAGAGGTATATTTTAGGGAGGGTTAAGAATTCTCTACCATTCATGGGGCTGGGTTATAGCTCAGCACATTTGAGGCACTGGGTTCAATCCTCAGCACCACATAAAAATAAACAAATAAAATATTGTATCTATTATAACAAAAAAGAATTCTCTACCATGCATAAGGTGAGGAGAACTGTGACTCCCTGGCCACCTCAGGGTGCCTGATGATTTATGGACAGGGAGGTCCTGCACACCTCAGCCCAGGTTGGGGCTCCCAGATGAGCCATGTGAGTTGCATAAAATGTGGCTCACCCTTACAAATGGCCTGCACCTTGGCCTCTCAAAGATGCCTGCACTTCTTCCCACGATAGTTATTGCAAATGCTAGCCAGTTTAGAAGAAACTCTAACTTTTGACAACCCGTACCATGACTAGTCATTCTGTTCAAAGGAGCTGTGTTCCCACAGGTTTGCTATATTGTGGCAATGCTGTAATCATTACCAAGGGTTCTTGAGGAAGTGGTAATGAAGAGAAAAAACCTTCTATATATAAACCAGCTCCTTGAATAAGGAAGAGGAGAGTATAGTGGGAAAAAAAGCCAGATGCTAATACACACCTGACTTGTGATTTTCAAAAATGCCACCCAATTGTGTTTAACACAATCAAACACCCCAAAACAGAAAACACTTACCTTTTTTCTCTCTAATCTTTCTTGTAAATTTTGTAACATAATTCTCTCCTGCTCCTTCTTGCGTTTATCAGCTTCTTCCTGAGCTTTTATTTTGGCATCCCCTTTCTAGAAAAAGTGTGTAAAAATATCATTTAATTTCGATATATGATAGCACATTTAAAAAGTCAACTGTTGTAACCTCTTGACTGAGCACTCCTATCTATGACCAGTCATGGATTATCAGTTTTCAAACCATTAGTTAGAATACACAGAACTAGGTGAAATGTTACCTGGAAGGCTCAGGATGTCAAGAGTATCATTATGAACATCACATTATCTTACTTTAAAACTACGTAGGTGACTATGGAGCTTTCCATTAACATAGCAACAAGAGTGAAAAGTCATATTTCTCCCAGTGTCACTGAGAGAATCCACAAAGGTTCCTTCTAGAGAAATGCAAGCACACATAATCATTTATGGAATTTACATGTTACCAAATTTGATGAATCACACACTAAAATTGGGACTAGAAATTAGACTATGGTAATAATTCAAACTGAGTATAGTTTGAGCTCAGTTCAGGAATTTAGTTTCCTAGTGGCTTGAATTTAGAAGGGTGATATATTCTTACTGGTGAATCTGATTTTGAACTTTGCCTGGTGTGGGAGGTGTGGGGTGCAGCTGTGAATGCCATTAGTGTTACCACAGAAAGCAAATTTGGGGAAAACCAACCTGGGATATCTTATCTGAGCAAGCAGTTTGGATTTCAAACTAAAGGACTACTAATCTATAATATACTGTTTTCTGCTTTTTTTTTAGCTGCCCTTGGGAAACTTGGGGACTTTGCCAAGGATGGCTGAAGATGACCTGCGGTGATGGATTATAGTGAAACTGTAATGTTAAAGTGCCACAAGGAATGCTACATCTCCTTACAGACAAATTTCATCTGGGAATGGTGTAGCAAGCCTATCATCCTGGCGGCTCAGGAGGCTGAGGCAGGAGGATCGTGAGTTCAAAGCCAGCCTCAGCAATGGCAAGGCTCTAAGTAACAGTGAGACCCTGTCTCTAAATAAAACATAAAATAGGGCTGGGGATGTGGCTCAGTGGTTAAGCATCCCTGCATTCAATCCCTGGTACCAAAAATAAGAAACAAAGATTGCTGCCTTTTTTTTTTTTTGTGGTGTTGGGGATGGAACCCAGAGTCTCATACATGCTACGCAAGTATCCTGCCACTGAGCCCCAGGCCCAGCCCTGCTGTGAGTTTCAACTAAATTTTATTAGCTGGTTCTTAATTGCTGCTAAAATGTTAAGCCAGTAAACCTGTAGTAGTACTTCCTGGTCTTGATGCTGACATCCTTTGTTCTTTTTAATCTCTTTTTCTTGTTCTTGCCCATCTTCACATTTTGATAGCTCTTCTGCTTGGCCTTTGTCCACCTTCTCTATCACATCTGCCACTTTCCTAGGAAAACAAGAGTATACAAATAATTCTTAGTATTTATCTTAGTTGCTACCATATACAGCTTGCAGTAGTATGCAACCTTTTATAATGAAATTGCTCCCACATTAATACAGTTTACATTTACACCATATTCACCACATTTACTGTGTTGTTACTATACAAAATTTACACAATTTCACCCTTTTTTTTAAAAAGTGGGGGAACTAGCCTGTGAGAGTAGAAAAGGACTTCTCTCAAGTACTGGACTACTTTGAATCTTAAAAACTGTGCATACACATGCACATATGCAAAACAGAAAAGAATTACTCCTGAACTGTTTTAGAGATCCTCCCCAAAGTCCTTATTTACACATGCTTACACCCAATCTCACCTGGGTAATGTAGAGGATGGTCTAGTGGTGCCCCAGTATCCAGCGCTTTCAAATGCTAAATTAGCCATGTTTACATTAGGTGATAATATTCTTCCACTTATAATTTGTTAGTATTCACAATATCCCCTTTCTCCTCTTTCTCTGAGCCCATATAAAGTTTATGGAAAGTGTGAAATTATATTGCACAGAAAATAAAGCCAGTGCTGTAGGTATTCCTTGCAGGCAGTGGACAGAGGTTTACATTACAGGGCTCAACTTAAAATGGGCCCCTAAATGGAAGAGCAAGGAACCTTTCTTTTCAAGTTCTGAGGCATATAGCTGTATATGAGGTTTGCTGCCCACAAGACATCCTACAAGCAGTGACTCACTAGTTAGATGAGATTCAGGTATCACAAAGGTCTTTGGAAAGTACCCAAAGTGAAATAGGAGTATGTATAATTTCCAGGTTTACAAATACTTAAGTTACAAGTCTTAAAGGGTCTGACACCAGAAAATACAAATATAAATGTCATGTGATCACTCAAGTGCTACTGTGCTTAGAGATGGGAACTCTGGGCATGAGTTTGGTCTTTTTATACAGTAGCACAACCTAATGGCACACAATGTATGGAGATTAAAAGGGACAGAGAGGTCCTCTATGTTCAGCCACTCACTTGGTTAGAAGGTAACAAGGAAATTTTGATCCTTGCTGAAGAAAAATTCAATTTTTGAGAAATTATAACTTGTGGGTAATATTTCAAAATTGGGGCCCCAGCCTAGACTAGTATAGAAAGGATGATGATTTTGTGCTGACCTTGGTTCCATTTCTTTCTGGAGTCTCTCTTCTTCTTTTTTGTCTTTTTGTTCACGAGCAAGTCGGCGTTTCTCTGCCAAAATTTTCGTTGCTTCCTCAGCACTCATGGTTCCTGGTGCAATTTTATTACCAGACTCTAGTTTAAATGAAAATGTAAAATAGTTAGTTTAGGGAACTTATTGTCTCTCAATCCAATAAATAAGTACAATATAACCCAAAACATTAAAAAATTAACAATGTGTGCATAGATCCAAATTTATAAACCATATGCAAACTATAGGTGATTTGTTCAAAGCCTCAACTGTTCCCTGACAAGAGAATTAGCATTTTCTTTTAAATAAATACTTTTTCCAAAATGCAATACTATACTTCTACTTTATTTTAGCTATATTTTTTTGGGAGTGGGTACCAGGGATTGAACTCAGGAGCACTCGACCACTGAGCCACATGCCCAGCCCTATTTTATATTTCATTTAGAGACAAAGTCTTGGCCTGGGGATATAGCTCAGTTGGTAGAGTGCTTGCCCCTGCATGCACAAGGCCCTAGGTTCTAATCCCCAGCACCACAATAAAAAAAGAGAGACAGGGTTTCACTGAGTTGCTTAGCACCTAGCTTTTGCTGAGGTTGGCTTTGAACTCAGGATCCTCCTGCCTCAGCCTCCCGAGCTGCTGGCATTACAGGCTTGCACCACCACATCTGGCCTTGTTTTAGCTATTTGGAGATAACTCAATCAAATGACTGTATAGGAAAAGATTAAGATATACTGATTATAGGGAAAGTCAAGGTTTAGCCTGGTCCAAATGAAGAGTATAAATCTTAAATACCTGATTAACCCAAAAATACATTAGGCATACATCTGGAGATCTGTGGTACATTTTCATTACTTTCCAGTTAAACTCTGATAACAGTGTGTATATCTGGTTATCATAAAGTGGCTAACTGTAGATGATAACCAAAGAAACCAAGACTATCAGTAAAGTAAGGTGAAGATGTGGAGGCCTATTATCATATTTTAGTCTGTGTAACTCATTGCTTTACTTCAAACAAATCACATGTGAAAAGGAAAATTTTAAGACATATCAAGAATGAACAATATGCAATAAAAAGATTATTTCTGTTACAAAGAATTTACTGTGAAATTCCTTTAAAAAGTAAAACTCCCTAATGTATTTAAAATTAAATAATGTCTGTAGGTGTAAAAATGTGTGTGGCAGGCAAAACAGCCATGTGGCAATTTTCAGGAACCTGCATACAATACAAACTAAGGCACACCACATGGTCTGACCTATATATGAAACCTGACCTACATCTCCTAATGGAAACCTGCTCATCCAGGAATGGCTAGATGTGTTCTCTCCAGCAATCATCTAACATCAGAGCTGGGAGAGCCTACAGGGATCTCCTAGACCAACCCTCTCATCCAACCTGTGCTTTTAGCAGTAGTTTCAAAATGAACTTTCTAAAACAAAGAGGTGTGAAAACGAAGCTTTGGCAATGACAAGTAAGCAGAGAAGCTACATTCCAGGAGAACCAGTGATTTAGTTAAATTCTCTTAATATCTAAAAGAAAGATCACTTCCTAAAGTTCTCTCCATTGGGGAATAAAATGATATTGACCATTCCCAAAGTACCTCAAGATTTTATGTGTTGTTAAAATGAACTTCTTAAATTTTTTTTTTATACTGAGGAATGAGCACAGGGGTGCTTTACCACTGAGCTACATCTCCAGCCCTTTTAGTTTTCATTTGAGACAGTGTCTTGTTATGTTGCTTAGGGCCTCACCAACTTGTCCCAATTGGCCTCAAACTTGTGATCCTCCTGCCTCAACCTTCTGAGTAGCTGGGATCAGAGGAATGTGCCACCACACCTGGCTTAAAATACACTTCTTAATGAGAGAACTTACCCTCAGAGATCATCTGTTTTTGGCTCACAGGCTCACATTTGTTTGGGGATTTAGAAACCGTTTCTCTTTTCTTTTTGACAATACCATCTGGCACAAATAGGGTACGTTGAACAGGTATGATTTTACAGGGCAGAGGAGCATGTACTGATTGTTTTGACAAAACTGGTGAAGGTGATGGTGGGCGGTTCTTTTGAATATGCCTGCTGAGAAAAAGTAACAAATGTGTGTTAGTTAATTTTTAGTATACAATTTGATAAAATATAATGTCTCAACACTATGAGATAATGATCATAAGATTATGATCTGGGAATTTTTATAATAGACAAAGCTAAATCCATTTTAAAAGTTTTTTTCTTCACATTTGTGTTACTGCGCATACAATCATATTTCATCATCAAACACTGATATGAAATTTGTCCTGACATGAAATTAACACCTACCAGAACGGTTGCAAGTAGGCTACTTACTTACATAGTATTTACGGGAGAGGGTGGATGACACCCGCTGGCAGGAGATGGTGACTGCATATTAGATAGTATGTTTGAGGATGGATGCTTCTTGATAACAGGGTTGGAGGTCTGTCTGTCCATTTCTGGTTTCTGAACAGGCTGATGCAGTAGGATATTAGTAAGTATTTTATTGCAGCTAGCTTTCTAAAAGAAAAACATTCTGAATAAAGTACAATTATAGTTCCTTAAATCCACGAATTTCCTTTAGTGCTTGAAATCAGGTTCAGACACATTTTCTTCTAGACTAACAATTATATTACACAATTCAAATGGATTACAGAAATAACTAATTTATGAGAAATCTTTTTTTCAAAACCTATTTCCATTTCTAAGTCTTAATTAAGGGTTTGGAAGACTTCTTAAAAATCTTTTCTTCAGAGTTCAGAAACAGTTCATAGGAATGTTACACTTTCTCCCTTCAACCAAAAGTAATATTCCACAGTTTGGGGGAAATATTACACTAGAGTAACAAACATCAGAGATTTTAAATTACTTAATGAATTATTTTGTTAATTTTATTGTGGAACACTATAATAATGTTAATTTTGTTGTAAAACCCAACCTATTATGTTCTATACAATGAAATACACACATTTTAATAGGAAACTTGTCAATAAAACATGACAAACTTCTGAAGAGTCTCTCACTTTTACCTGGAAGATGATTTCATGCTCACCTTGGGGGATGCCTTGTAGGACACTTCTGCCACCATCTTAGGAGATGATTCCAAGCTCTCCTTGGGTGATTCTTCTACTTCCCCCTCAAGAGGCACTTCCACATTTGCCTCAGGAAGTGTTTCCGAACTCTGGGATGCTTCCATGTTTGCGTTACAGGGAGCTTTCATGTTCACCTTAGGGGATGAGCCCATGCTCCCCTCAGGGGATGTATCTAGGCTCACCTCAGAGGAGGCATCCATGCTCACCACAGGGGACACTTCCACACTAACCAAGGGGGATGTTTCTGTGCTCGCCACAGGGGACAATTCCATGTTCTCCATGGGGGGGGCTTCCATGTTCAACAAGGCATCCATTCTCACCTCAGAGGGCACTTCCATTTTTGCCTTGGGAGTAGCTTCCACATTTACCTTGAAGGGTGTTACTACTTTCTCTAGGGGAGCCATTTCTAATTTTGTCTGAAGAGGTGTCTTCACTATTGGCTTACTGAACATGATGGAACTCTTCAATTCGTCACTACTGTGGCTACGCAAGGGCATATGTACATACTGGAGGAAGTGATTGGTGACACCTATAAGTGAATGAGGATGGAGAGTAAAATGCCCTAAAGTTAGAAATTTGATAAGACAGTATAAGAACAGGAACAGAGAAAAGAGACAACTGTTTATTAGGAAATCACAGAGATTACATACATCACAGGAAGTATTCGCCAACAACAGTCACTGTGAAAGCAATGTTTTTTTTTTTGTTTTTGTTTTTGTTTTTTTAGAGAGAGAGAGAGGGAATTTTAATATTTAGTTTTTAGTTTTCAGCAGACACAACATCTTTGTTTGTATGTGGTGCTGAGGATTGAACCCGGGCCGCACGCATGCCAGGCAAGCACGCTACCGCTTGAGCCACATCCCCAGCCCACAATGGTCTTTATTACAGATGAAAATAAGATGTTTTTCCAAAGTTCATATTTGCCATTTCTGTTTTTTATACCTTTGTTTTATTTATTTATATTTTTACATGGTGCTGAGGACTGAACTCAGTGTCTCACACATGTCAGTTAAGGCTATACCACTGGGCTACAGCCCCAGACCTGCCATTTATATTTTAATTGCACTGCACTTCAGAATTACTTTCATGAAAATTGCAAGGTCTTCAACACCTTTAAAAAGTAATATGAACATCTTCACCAGGACTAGATTTTAACCATTAGAGGTGATTACATAAGACACTTCATAGTTGATTGTTGCAGAAGGGAATTAAGAAAAGCATTTTCTCAGCCATATTAAAAACTGTACTAAGACTTACTCAGAGTGGGCTAGATCTCAAAGGTCTCTTCCAGTTTCAGCAAACCAAATATTTTTTTGCCTATGGAAGGAGCAAAATGCTAATATTCCATGTCAGCTTGTATGGAAGAAAATGGTAATTCCAATATTTGGAACCAGGCAACCTCATACACTGCTGGTGGGATTGTAGATTTGTATATGTTTCCTGAGGAGCAATTTGGTAATATGTATCAAAAGCCATTTAAGTAGTATATACTCTTTGTTTTAGCAATTCCACCTCTGGATTTATCCTTAGTAAAAAAATAAAGATAAAAAAACCTAGATAAAGGAGTTGGGGATTTATCTCAGTGGCAGAGCACTTGCCTAGCACAGCAAGGCCCTGAGTTCAGTCCTTAGCCCTGGAAAAAAAACTAGATAAATATGTAAAAATGTATTCACATTGTTGCTAACTAAACCATTGTTTAAAATACTGGGATAGTTGAAAATATAATCCAAATATTCAAAAGAAAACTTGCACTATAGGAAGGCAGTCATTAAAAGAAGTAATTTGCAATTTTTTGGATACAGAAAATGATATTTATTGAGTTTAACAAAGGCAGGCTACTATCTCCTTTTGTGAAAAAAATATATATGTGGAAAGATATTAAATTACCAGTGTGCCTTGAAATAATAGGGAGATTACACCTAAAATCTTGTTCTATGCTAAATGTTTACTGCTTATATAATAAAGTAAACATTTTAAAAATGTCTTCCATGGTAGCTTTCTTAACACTTGGTAAAATTATTTGGCACATCAACTTTAAGTGGCAAATTTTCACGATTTTGTTAAATATTTAAAATAGAATTACCAATTAACTACTTATGAATAAAACTTGACAAAGTTGTTATTTTTTTAGTTCCTCATTTTTGATAAAGAAAGCAGTTTATTTACATATCTACATGTGCCTAACAGTTACATTAATTAACACCAACAATTAGTATTATAGAAAATGTATAAAGTATAAGATTTTTGTGTGATCCTAGAGATTGAACCTAGGGTCACTTTACCACTGAGCATTATCTCCTTCCAGTCCATTTTTTAATATTTATTTTTTAGTTGTAGTTGGACACAATAACTTTATTTTACTTATTTATTTTTATGTGGCACTGAGGATCTAACCCAGGGCCTTACCCGTGCTAGGCAAGCGCTCTACCCCTGAGCCACAACCCCAGCCCCACTCCAGTCCATTTTATTTCTGATTTTTGACATGGGGTCTTGTTGCCCAGGGTGGCCTGGAACTTGCCATCCTCCTGCCTCTGCCTCCACATCGCTGAGATTTTAAGTGTGCATCACTACACTTAGCTCGTTATAGAAATTTAAGACAAAATACTGAGTTTTTCATGATAGTGATCTATTAAGCTAAAACAAAAATAATCAGAGATATCTAGATTGGTAGTGGGGGAAACTGGCAGAAACGAATCTGATTA